CATATTATTTCTCCCCATGTTCACAGAACTGAGGTAGATGCAGGTGACAGAAGAGTCCCCATTTCAGAATAAGAAAGTGATTCAGAGCAGTGGTCCCCAATCTTTTTGGCACCAGGCACTCGTTTCATGGAGGACAACTTTTCCACGATAGGGGAGGGGATGGTCTCCTGGGCGCATCACATTTATTGTGCACTTAATTATTACATTATAATATATAATGAAATAATCATACAACTCACCATGATGCAGAATCAGTGGGAGGTCTGAACTTGTTTTCCTGCAACTAGATGGTCCCATCTGGGGGTGATGCGACAGAGTGACTGATCTGACAGGAGGCAGAGCTCAGATGGGGAACAGCTGTAAATACAGATGAAGCTTCGCTCTCCACCCACCACTCACCTCCTGCTGTGTGGCCAGGGGAGGAGATTTAGAGAATTACCTGACTTGCCTGAGGTCACCTCCTTAACAGGTCTAAGACCAAATCTGGTTTTCCTAACCATAATCCAGTACTTTCCCATGAACGTCCAGTGGGGCCAGGGCTATTCAGACTCCACTATACTAAAAAGGCACTAATGAGTTGTCTTCCATGGTCTAGGGGGATTTTTAGAATTACAGACATCCACAGTTAGTAGAATTTAGCACATTATTTATTCCTTGATTTACCCAAACTGGCCTATATTTGTCCTTATTTACAATTTTCATCCACCTTAAAGATAAATAAAAAGCAAAAGTTAATCTAGACTGTTTTCTTTACAGTTTCAAAGCAAAGTAGCCTCTTGGAACCTCTTTTCATAAGTAACAACAGGTTACCAAATGATTATGAACATAAGTAGAAATATATCCAAAGATCCACAGGTTCACACTCTCCAGGTGGCTTTGAAAGATGTGGTTTTGCCATCTGTTTACCCAAGATGAGTAAGCCACTGTTACCACCAATACCTTTATATTTTCTTCCTGTGGACTTCATATTTTCTGAGTCTTATTTACCTAACGACATATTAACAACAGTAATCCCATTTTACATTTGGCAACTGCAACCTTTCAGTAGTATGAGATTGAGAATACTATCAAACTTCCTTGTAAAAAGCAAAGGCATTTAGTATTTTAGCCCTAAATATGGTGCCCCTAACAAGGGTAAAGATAAGTGTTGTTCCAAGTTTTCCAGAATTAATGACAATGAGTCTTCAACACCACACTTTCTTCCTGGATCCCTGGAAGACTGCAGTCCCCAGGCTTCGAATCACTGGTCTCTGCGATGCAGGCAGCCATATTCCAAGGAACATTATAAAAATCAAGTTCCTACAACACAACCTGCTATAAAGAACACTGTTAGACTCCAAAGTCCAGGTAAAGCAGGAGCCACCAGCTTTTATGAGGCAGATTGCTGTTAAAGAACATCCAAGGCTCAGATGCAAGACTATCAGAATCCCAGGAACACCAGAAGATGTTCCATAGAAACAAGTTTCCATTTTTATAATGTAAAGGGAGGGGGTCAACTTGACACAAAGACATTTTGCTTTATAAAATTTTCAGGACAATATCTATTTCACAAATCAGACACCCACTAACTTGAGCCAAAGGTTATAACTTATGTAACTGTTATTATATCGCCTTCTGTGCCTTCCACAGCTCTTTTAAAAACTGAATACATGCTGCTGCCCAAATCACAGACAGGAAAATGCAAATCATTTTTTCCCTCTGGCCCTAAATGTCAAAGTTTTCATTTCAAATAACTGTCCCTCAAAGCTCTATAATCATAAACTCTGCTAATAATATAATCATACATGACAAGACTCAATTTCACAAATGTTAATTCAAAAACTAGAACTCAGGACTGCATAAAAATTGAGTTCAAAATATGTAGGCAATAAAGCTCAAAATCTCATAGGTAGGTAACAGAGGGTAACTAAAGCCCTACTGCTACTTATACTGCCATTAATAATAAGCAAGTCTTCCCTCTTAGGTTTCTACCCCTCCTCCTGAACAACGGCTTTGTCAGTCATTATTTCAGGACAATGGAGCTCACATTGCACAACAACTAAATTTCAACCTGTGTTCCTGACTTGTACCTTGTGGGTAGCAGAGCAGGACCCTTCCATCATACCACACGTTTTCGCAACGTGAATGTGGACACTCATGTAAATCTAGGACATTCTGAAAGAAAAGGGAAATGCTCAGCCATGAGAAATCTTGTCCAGATGGATGGGTGAACTCAGAGTAGATGGAGATCCAGCCTATAATGACTGAAAGTTCACTGTAGAGGTAGGAAGGAGGAAAAAAAACTTTCACATTTAGGTAAATTAGGGAAGACAGAATATTTTTTAGTTAACATGCACCAGCTTTGTGAAATTCTGGAGCCTTTGAATGATGGAAGAAAGGAAAAAGGGCAGGGGAAGGTGGGAAGAGAGACATTCCTGCTCAGTTCTGTTTTCAAAGCTGGTATGAGACAAACGGTGCTGGCATCATAAAATAACGGAATGGGAGGAATCTAGAGCTGACAGAGCGCGGTGCTGACAGAGCTCTGAGCGAGAAGATATGTTTGAGATGTAACTCATGGGCCCAGGAAGCCACCTGCAGGGAATCCTAGAACCATGGGTATAACCAGAGAGAGGCCCCAAAGGCCTTGCTGGGGGGTGGGAAGCCAACAACTAGGACACTGCATAAAGCAGGAAATGGTCACATAAAGTAAAAGCGAATGTAAAAATGGCAAGTGGAAAAACATGTCAATAAAAGGTAGAATCAGGAGGTGCTGAGAAGGCTGGTGCAGTACAGGAAGGCCAGGTAGCCTTGTTTTTCTAACCTGCTAGAACAACATGTTGGCAGACAGTGGAGAAGGCAGAGATGTGAAGGTAGTTCTGACCCCTGAAGATCTCTCCAAACCCTTAAAGTCAACAGGACCCAGACCAAACTGTGTTTCTCCCAAACTCCAGCCTCCTCTCCTGAGGCTGTCCTCCCTGTTCTTCATTTCATTTTCTTTGAGACGCTTTCTCCCCAAGCTACTTTCAAAGAGAGGGTATCAAAACCTTTGAGAAAGAATAAAGGAATTTGTTTTCAGCTAATTTACATACCAAACAGCTTGTTCTTATCCCTTCCAGTTTTTCTCGGAAAATTTTTGCATAATCCTCCTTCCTTGCCTCATAACAATGAAATGTAGGAGTAAATGGTTTCAAGTAAATTTTAATAATTATCTTCACTTCCTTATTATCTCCTTTTGAAAATCCTTAAAAGTTATGCACGATAACTTTAATTGTCAACCAGAAGCAACTTTGTGCCCTAGCGGACATGTGGCAATATTTGAAGACATTCTCCGTTCTTGCAAATGGGGGAAGGGGTGCTACTAATACCTAGTGGGTAGAGGCCGGGGAGGCTGCTCAGCATCTTACAATGACCAGGACAAACCCCATAACGAAGAATTACCTAGCTCGAAATGTCAACAATACCAAGGTCAAAAAAAAACCCTGTTTTAGGAGAAGGTATACATCAGAATGATAAAGAAAGAAGGAAAGAAAAGCAAATGATTTATAATATATCCTAATATTATTTTATAAATGCTCTTTTTTATAGACACAAACAGACAAAACACACTGTATCTTAAAATTCCAGAATTACATATACCATGTGAGAGGGGGAAGGAACAGTTCAAGTAACTATTTAGAGTCAATTAGACTTGATGTTATCATACAGGATTTTTAGTTCAAGAAACTATAATGGCAAATAAGCTGTGTAGCTCAGCAGGAGGGAGGGGATAGACTCCCTCCACAAACCACACCTACCTAACTAAATCAGAACACTTTTATCTTCTGGCACTCCACCAAAGGCCGAGAGTGAAATCTCTTACCCATATTCATCAACTCCAACTTTTTTTTTTTTTGAACAGACCTTTTGATTTTGTTTTAACATTCTCTGCAAAAGTCCTTTGCTGTAAATTGTGATCCAGCTAAGACCAGGCCTCTATTTGTCCCCAGTCCTCACCATGTAAGTAATTCCCATCACTAAACAGTCTCATTTATTGTAGGGCAGTGTGGGGGGAATGGAGGAGGGTATGTGTGTGTAAAGATTTATGATTTAAACTCTCCCAAAGTGATAGAATACATCCAGAGGTAGCAAAGGCAATAACTAAAAATGCCCCTTTAGAGTGTAAAGCAACAATTATAATCCAAAGCAAAGAATCTTATTTTAAAAAAAGTTTTAAATTAAGCGAAGTTATTTTATAACTTCCAAAGCTGCTTAAGGATCAAGTCCCACGGGTAGAATTTGTACTATTCTGGCCACCCCGCTTCCTTCATACCTCACCAAACCATACCACAAAGCTGACTCCTCAGTCTCCTCACCGCCAAGTCAGTGCTGGATGCAGCTAATCATCACTGGGGCCCTCTAGGTACACACGAGTGGGCGGGGGCGGCCTTCGAGTGCCACAGGGAGAGTGGGTCCCGGACCACACCCGACCTCCGAGCTCAGGGTCCCCTCTGTCGGGATCCCACAGCTCTCTGGGTGGGTGGTCTCCAACCAGTCACTCGGGAATAACACTGGTGGGACGAACCCCTGTCCTAGGCGGGGACCTCTTCTATTCAAACTCAAGGATAAAAGGGATCATTTAAAGTCCTTACGTAGCTGCTCTAGCCACGATTCTGCTTCCCACTAATCAGGAGGGGAGTGTTCCATACACTTCTGCGCAGGATCTCGGAAGCGAGCCCCTGCCCTACAGGTGCACACCCACCGTGTGGGCTGCCAAAATGGCTCACGCGGCAAGGATGCCGGCCTATGCCCCTGAGCGCCCCCAGGTGTGCACATGCACTGTGCAGACTCAGGTGTGCAGACTCAGGCGCGCTGACTCGGGAGCGCTCCCAGGTGTGCAGACTCAGGCGTGCAAGCTCGGGTATGCCGGCTCAGGGAGCACAAAGAGAGACGCAGCGCCGCGAATGACAGGTGACACCAGAGAACCCCCAAAACCGTACCACGCTCCCCGCGCCCCCGACCGACGTCGAGCCCCATCAACTCACCTCTTCCAAAAACTTGGTCAAATCGTACACCTTGTGGTGCAGGATCAGCCAGGTGCTTTTGCTGTGGTTGTGCTTCTGAATCTCTTCCAGGGTGTAGTACTTCACCTCCTGGTCAGACTGCTTGGCCATCTCGGCACGCGGCGAGCCAAGCCCAGCACACACAGCCACGGCGGGACAGGAGAGCTAGAGTCTCCGCGGGCTCCACCCAGGACATTCCCCGCGCGTCGGGCACCACGCCCTATGTCGGGCGGCCGACGCTTTGGGGGGAGGGGCGTTACAAAGCACGGCCTTCGAGGATAGGCCAGTATCCTTGTCACTCAAGAGGCCCGGCTGTTGATCGACCCCCTCCTCCAGGCCTGGAGCGGCCCCGCCCAGCGCGCGGGTGTTGATTGGCTGCAGGAGGTGCCCTTCACAATCTCCGGCTGCTGGAGCTCGCGGAGGGCGAAACGGGGCTTCCCTGAGTCTGCGCAGAAGACACAGGGCGGAATTGAGGGGCGGGGCCTCGGCGGGCACGAAGCGGTAGGGGCTAGGGGTTCTAGGGGTGTTCCCTGCCGATTCCACGTAAGGGCGCAACGGGGCAGTTTGCCGCCGGTGCAAAGTCTATTCTTGCTAGGGCAGCGACCTCGGTACAAAATCGCGGGGTGTTTCCTAACCACCCCTAAGTACCAACGTTAATTTGTAACAAAAGTAGTAATGTTCCAAGTCCATCAGAGGTCGGCGCGGGGGGACTGTCAACATGCACGCTAGAACGGTTTCACAACCTGACCCCTGTGACACAAATGTGCTGCTCCCAACAAACTTCACTGACCCTCGCCCGGGGTTTGCAATGCCTCGTCCTCACGGGAGAAAGAAAGCCAGGGAAATTATTTTTTCCATATAAAGCAAAGCGTATAAGCTAAACTCTTTCTACAAAACTCCTCCGCTATTCTAGCACACTGTTTATTTAAGTAAAAACACTTCAAAACCAGCATCTATAAAAGAAAATTATCTTGACCTTCATGCTGTTTCTTAAAAGCAAAAGATAAAATTCCCATGTAAAAGACACCCTCCCTCTACTGTGAGGAATGGCAAGGACAAAGAATTCAGACCAAAAAAATACTGTATAGACCTTGTTAGAATAACTCTTATCTTTTGGGCCTCCTCACATAATTCAGTCACATTTTCACAGTTAATTATTCTTTGTCATAAATGGGTGTTGAATTTTATCTAATGCTTTTCAGTATGTAATTTTTTTCTTCTAGCTTTTTCATATAATGGAATATATTTTCAAATATTGAACTACCTTGCATCTCTGGAATAAACCCTACTTACTTATGGTATATAATTCTTTTTATATATTGCTGAATACTATTAATAATTTTTGCTAAGAATTTTTATATCTGTTAATGAGATATTAGTGTGTAGTTTTCTTTTTATATACTGTTTTTGTGTGGTTTTGATATTAGAGTAATATTAGCTTCATAAAATGAGTTGGGACCTTCTTTTCTATTTTTCTGGAAGATATTGTGTAGAAGTGGTGTTATTCTTCTTTAAAAGTTTGGTAGAATTCTCCAGTGAAACCATAATGGGCCAAGAGATTTCTTTTTGAGGTTTTAAACTATCCAATTTCCTTAAGAGTTACAGGACTGTTCAAATTATCTATTTTATACTGGGTGAGCTGTGATAGCTTGTACTTTTCAAGGAATTGATCCGTTTCATCTAGGTTGTCAAATCTATGCATGTGGAGTTGTTTGTAGTAATCCTTTATTATCCTTTTGATGTCTGTAAGGTCTGTATAGTGATATCCACAGTTTAATTCCTGATACTAGTATTTAATAATTTTGACTTCTCTTTGTCAGCCTTGCTAGAGGTTTGTCAATTTTACTGATCTTTTTAAAGGGCCAGCTTTTTGTTGCACTGATTTATTCTATTTTTCCATGTCATTGATTTCTGCTCTTTATTATTTCCTTTCTTCTGCTTGTTTTGGGTTATTTTTTCTCCTTTTCTTTCTAGTTTCTTGAAGTGGAAGTTTAGAGTATTACTTTGAGACTTTTCCTTTTCTCAAATATATGCATTTAGTGTTATAAATTTCCTATGTTTTTAAAAATTAAAGAACCAGATTATACTTTCCCTAACCATTCTTAGGACTGCTGAACCCATGACTTCCAGTAGAGCAACCAGTCTCTTGAGTGCATGGCTATCTCTATAATCCAATGTCAAGATTGCTTGAGACTTTAGTCCCAGTTCCAAATAACTCCAGAAGTAGTTAAAATAAAAATGTTAGTGCTAGTAACCTGGATCCTAACCCTGATTTTGTGACTTATCCGATGCATGACTATAAGCAGTTAACTGTTCTAAGCCACTTGCTTAGAAAAAATCTCTGTTCTGTCTCCAACACAAGTTAATAGAACAAGGGTAAAATGCTTAGCACATGTCCTGGCACACAGAAAGCAATCAATCAATTTTAGCTAAGTGCTACTATTATTATTACTCAATAAGCTTCCCTTATTCTAAAACACAGGTATAAAGAAGCATCCTATCTGGCAGGAACTCCAGGGTGAAGTAAATGTAGGTAAATTTAGAGACAAACCAGATAAATTAAAGATACACAAATATTTACAAACTCCTCCTGATTTCCTCTACTTCAAAGAAAGTAGCCAGTGGAGGGTTCTGAGCATAGAAGGAGCACAATTTGATTTATATTTTGATTTATATTTAAGATCACTTTGACGCCAATTTTACACAGAGACGCAAAGTTGAGATTGGAATCAGGGATACCAGTTACAGACTACCATAATAGTCCAAGTACAGGGATGGCGCCAGGTTTTGTGCGGCCTTAACCTTCTCGGGCCTCAATCTTCAAGAGGGGAGGCCCTCTTGAAGAAAAAGAATACGAAATTATAAGTGCAAAATTAGGTGTGGAACCTTGGGAGGGGTCTGTGCAAGTGAGGGATCCTGAAGCTGGAGCTTTATCCGTACCTCTGCCTGATAGATGGGACTGCGGCCCACGTTAGAGTGCCAGAGGCAGGGGACATGATTGAATTCTGGATATACTCAGAAGGAAGGACTGATGGGTTTGTTGATAAATCTAATGTGGGGTGTGAGACAACGAAGAGACAATGCTAACGCTGAGGTTTGGGACCTGAGCAAACTGTGGGACCATCTACAGGATACACAATCCAGCTCTTCCTCTCAGGGAATCACCGGGTCCACTGTACCTGGCGTCCGGCGACTTCAGCGATGGGGAGAAAAGCTGACAGGCGCGGCATGCCAGGAATGCAGAGGGTGCAGGGCATGCCGGGAATGCGCGGGGTATGCTGGGAGAGGGTGGCGAAATCGGAGCGCCAGGCCATGCTGCAAGGAAAGGGGGGGTTATGCAGGGCATGCTGGGAGCTTGGGGCATGCCGGGAGCTGCTCCTGAGGGCAAGGACGCTGAGGAATCGCGCCCTGAGGTGAGGGTCCTACCCGACTGGACCTGACTGGACAAAGGAGGCATCTTCTTGAGGAAGCAGAGCGGACTCGAGGGAGGCCGCTCGAGCCCTGCCACTCACCCTGAGGGAGAAGGCTGGTGCCTCTGAGCCTCAGGAGGCCCCGGCTTTGAAGGCATTGCTTTTACAGTTTTTGAAAGCATCTTACCAGTTTTATTTCCCACTGTTGTGAAGCAACCTGAGTAGGGAAGGGACAAGAGGGAAGAGGTCAGGGTCGCTCACACGGCAGGATCCCAGTGCCAGTGCCCGGAGAAGGGTGGGATGCCGCTTTCTGGAGGAATCCGGGAGACCGTGTGGTGAATTCGCGTGTGCGCCGTTCGAAACCCGCTGCTTCTCGCTTTGAGATCGGAAGAAATTTATTCATCCGTAAAGGCCCATAGGTCCCATTTTTAGTGCATTTTATTTTATTGGAAATTTATAGAATTACCTTTTTAAAATGTTTGTAGCTTAGACCTTAGATATGTTTCCACCCAAATCCATTACTATAGGTAAGAAAGTGAGGCCCAGAAGAAGGTAACTTGCCTGAGGGCCCACGGGAAGCCAAATATGGAGCCCACGCTGAATCTGACCTCCGGTCTGTTTTTCCTGGGAAGGGTCCCCACAGAAGTGGAAACAAAGGAAGCTCCAGATGGGCTGGAAGTTCCTTAGACTTCAACTCACTGACTTCACAGACTGGGCGCCATGGAGTTTTGCTTCTGTTTGGGTTCTCTTTTGTCTTCAGACGTAGAATTTTATAGATACCTGTTGCTTTTGGCTAACCCTGGTGGTGATTGGGAACAAAGATGGTTTAGCAGGACAGAAATGTAGTGGAATTATTCTCTGAAAAATGTTAATAATTCATCCACAAATGTTAATAAGGTTTGGCCCAGGTTTTGAGCTTTACAATATAATTCTTATACAATCTAGTAAAATCTTATACAATCTAGTAAAAGGAAAAAAACCTTATTTTTAAATCTGCAAGTTTTGCCAACTAAGAACTCAACACATCTTTAAAAAATTCTGATAAATTCATGCTTATTCCTGAACAAATCAATCTTGTTTACATACAATTTTCTGATCAGTAAGTCTTTGACAAAAGGGGAGGACTGCTCATAGAAATTTCTTGGTGACCTGGAATTTAGATCTCTGCTGTAAGATATAAAGGAAAAATGAGACAGAAAGTAATTTTAGTGGGAAATGTGTTTTACAAATGAAAGTAACAAATCACAAAATGTCACCCATGTCTTTGACCTGTTCTCTTTAAAATATGCACAATTGTCCTGGGTCCAAGTCATAATTAATATTTTGCTTTATATTTTACCTTGTTCATTATTGATACCTTCTACTAAAACACTTAAGATGAAGTGAATTAAAATTGGGAAGTAGGTTGTGTTTGCCTTAGAACTTGGTACTTTTTCTCCCCACAACATAAAAGCAGAAAGAGAAGGGATATTTTAATTTTTAGTAATACCAGAAACCATCTTGATTAAGTTACTAACACCTTTGTGAATTTGTTAATCATTGTAAGAGTACTTGCAGTTTAAAATAACCAAGTGGTTCTCTAATGAGGAGAAAATTTCACACTGGTGCTTGAGTGTGAGAAATGTGTTGGAGTGAAAAGGGAATTGCCAGCATTCCTCAGTTGACCCCACAAATGCATTTTGTTACCGTGATCAGACTTAGGGCTGGTCACACTCCAGATTCCTGGGCTAACATGTAATCACTTCTTAAAATGAGAAAATATGTCGATGCTAAAAAGTTTTAAGTACTAGAGAGTCCAAGTGACTTTCCCCACATGCATTTGTGCATGTTAGAGTACTTGAGCTTTAAGAGATTGCTTTACTTTTTATATGCCAGTTTTCTGTAATACTATATAATATATAATATAGACTTCAGAGGTAGACCCTGTGAATTATCAATTGTAAAGTGTGCCCCAAATAGAATTTTAAAGCCAGATAACTTAGTGAAAATGAAAACTAGGTAACAATTTAGAGACGTCAGTGGACATTTTTATTCATGTAAAATGAGTAATATATTCCTTAACCTTGAAGTGCTTTACAGAGATAATCTGAACAGCAGAAGACTTTGCTATGCATTTTTATTTTTAAAAAACTATTATTACTACAAGAAAGATTTTGTTTTCCTGAAAACAAAATGAAGCTTAATATCTGGAACTGTAGAAGATACTTATTAAATAATCACAAAATGGTAGAAATATTTTTAGTTCCTAGAGCAGAGTAGGCTTTTAATAAACAGAGCTGGTGTTTTATATTATTTATACTCAAATTATTCTATCTGTGTTATAAAACTGCAGGTTTAAAATTCCAGATTATGATGAAAATGTTCTAAAATTTATTGCGGTGATGGTTGCACAACTCTGAATACAGTAAAAAACATTGAATTGTACACTTTAAATGGGTGAATTATATGTTATATGAAATATATCTTAATAAAACTTGTACCCAAAAATCCTAGAAAGTCATTAGAAAATCTTAAAGATAAAATGACAGTGATTTTTAACTGTTGAAGTTTGCTAACTAATTTGTTTTTATGACCTTATTCTAACACAATGTCAATAATGTGCTGAGTTGGTATTGAAACCCTATTGGTAAGACAGTTTACTTCCTTTTTATTGCTGTTTGTTTTTAAAGGCCTGATTGTTGAGACATTCAGTCAACAGGAAAATATGAATGATTCTAGACAGCAGTCACTGTTCTTCATCACGCTTCCGGATTTACACAAACTCTGTGCAGTCAGAATAATATTGAGTAATGGGTTGTCAGATACTGAGATTAGGAGTACACAAATGAAGATGTGCAGGTAAAAAATATATCTTATAACTAAAGCTTTTAAAACTTTTTAAGACCCATAAGAGCTGTTTTAGAAGTATTTTATTTAAAGCAAAATACTTATTCACCCAATCTGTGTATATAATTTCAAAATAAAGGAAGTCAGTTTTATTTTGACCAGATATATTGGATTACATTTAAGGAGGGATTTAAAATACTTGTGATAGAATATCTCACTGTTGAGTTTTTATGTTTGTGACTTCTTATGTGCTTTTAGTAAAATTTAAAATCTCTGAAGACACTCATGGATTAAATCGGGCTCCCAAAAACTTAGAGATCCTAATCAATATTTACTAAGTATCTACTGTTTATAGCGCACTTAGAGCCACTGTAAACACTTTAGTATAGTTTCTTAATTTTCAAGTCAGTATAAAACACTGAAGAGTATTTTTCCAGGATCTATCTCAATAAAAATGACCCCAGGTAGTCTTTGAAAAATAGCTTAGAGGAACCCTAAAGTATAATTTCATGATTACTGAGGACCTACCATGTATTAGTCTCTTAAATTGCAGAATTGAATTGAATTTCTTGGAGAAGGACAAACACCTGTAAGATTCTAAGGGCAAGAAATAAGGAAAATGCTTTTGAGATGTCCTCCATTTTCCTTTTATTTACAACACATTTCTTTTCCTTATTTGCGTATTTTCCCACTCAGGGGCAGCAGGGAGCCTGTGCCCTTTCTGCTAAAATGTAATTTGATGCTTATTGAGAACTTCACCTGTGACCCCTTTTGGAAATACTATAACAGGTAGAAAACCTTAAGTGAGGTTTTCTGCTGTTTGGCCTCGAATTGAAGGCAGCCATGCCCACAGAGCAGAGCTGTCTTAATTAAACTTCTCAGTAACTAACAGCCTGAACAGAGAGAGCAGAGACCTGGCTTGTGTCAGAGAAAGGCAGGCCTTGCAAAAGCAAGTACCTGCTGCACCTGGATTCCAGCAACTAGGAAGCCACCAGAAACAGGTTGGCCTATCTTGCTTTTTGAGGTAGCCCCATACACATACTAATGGTTATTTTAATTTATTTCTTTGATGATTAGTAGTGTTGAAAAATTTCATATTTCTAACTATTCCCATTTGTGTTTTTCATATCTTCCCCTCAAACTTTGAAACAAAATTATTGGTAGTAATTTGAATTATGATGATTTTTGTTGTAAATTCATTTGGCTATTGAAAACTAACCTAAAACCACTACTCAGTTCTTTCTGGCTTGGGAAGAATTTCCCTTTTGAAGGGAAAGGATCTAGGCAGTAGTAATTTTGGAGTTGATAACTTCACTGATAGGTGAATGCTTAGCCTCTTGCTTCCAGTGCTCCCTGCTCACCACTTAAAAAAAAAAAAAGGAAAGTGGAAGGAACAGGAATTAAAAGAGATGGATTCCTCTCTGTGCTTAGACTTCTTCAAGTCTACATTTAGGACAGAAATGAGCTTTAAAAAAATGAATTTAGTCTCACAGAAGAAAGAGGCTGGAAAATTCAGGTACAGGGACAAATTCTCATGTTAGTATCGGTATCTAAAACTTCATAATCCTCTTAATTCAAATGTTGGCTGAGTAACTACGCTGTTCAAGGTACCATGCTAAGTGTGGGAAGATAGAAGTCTGTAACACAATTGTCTAGAAAAACTTAGAATTTTAACTAAGCAAATTTTTAAAATGTTACAGTAAAGTAAAAATACAGTGGGCAAGTCTACTTTGTTATATATTTCATCTCCACAGGCAATTGCTGTTTTTGCATCAAGATATTCTTACGTCACCTGTGCCTGGAATATTAAATCAAATTTGGGTGGTGATGGCGGTTAGTATTTTAACATTTTATAAAATATTAGTACTAATTATTGGGATCAATATTGATAAAAATAAAAAATTCAGGAATTAAAGCTAAAATTGAAGATGGTTTACGAGGAAGTATCACACTGTGTTATAGTTTGAACTATTAACAGAATTAACTTTGATATGTCTGATGTTTAAAATCCATTAGTTTTCTCTGTCATAATGCTAAGATAAAAACTATTAAAGAATAAAATGTATTACAGTATAATTTTTTAAGATGGCATGGGCTTAATACCTTCTATCATATTTTATTCTTTAGAATAAAAGGAAGAAGTTTCTCATTTCAACAAATCTCCCAACTTTTTTAATTTTTTTCTTTTCTAACTAATCCTGTGTCAGATCAATCTCCAACTGTTTTTAAAGAACTTAGACCAACGTTTCTTTTAATTTGGAAATTTTACCAAAAAATGTTTTCATACTTAGTAAAATGAGTATTAGAGACCTATTTCTCAGTGCTATATGTAATTGGGAATTATAATGTAATTCCAGGAATCTTTATAAAAATCATATTATCCTAAGATTTTTATCAAAAATCTTTCTGAAAATTCTGTTTTTCTGAGATTTTAATTCCCCAGAATTCAGTAAAATCAACATTTATTAACAATGCTGATAAATCATCCAAAACCTTTAGTTCTTTTATTTTTCTTCTAGGTCTTGGTTATGTGTTCATCTTATATCTTCTTAATACAGTTTTTAAAAAAGACAAGCTGTTAGTGAAGAAGTAGACTAGTATCTCTTATTTATGTCCTTTTCTACCTGAAAATCTTTATGGCACAAGGACATTATTTTAGAGTTCTAGTAAATTAAAGTATCCTAATTTTGGCAAGAATAATTAGAGGAAAGTAGCCATCTATTTTTTAAATATATGTTTTGTTTTATTACAAAGGTGTTCTGTTAAAAAAAACTTACAAAAATATGTAAGTAGAAAATGGGATTATTATACATACTATTTTGAAACTTGCTTTTTATTCCTTCTTTAACAGTCTCTCCTGGATATCTTTCCATGTTAGTCATACATCTTCCTCATTTTTTAAGGCTGTGAAGTATTTAATTGTATGGGTGTATAGTACTTTAATACTTTCTAATGCACACCTGAGTTTCTAGTTTTGAGCCGTTACAGTATTTCAGAAAGCAGCATTGAAATTATATCATTTTTATTTGATAGTTTCTTTGGGTTAAAGAAACTGGGTTTTAGAAGTGGATTGCAACTATAATCTAGATTTTAAACTATAATCTGGGTAGTGCTAAATTGATCTCTGAAAAGCTTGTGCTGGATTACATTTTAACAAACAGTGCTCTGGGCACGGTGGATCACACCTGTAATCTCAGGGCTTTGGGAGGCCAGGGCAGGAGATCACTTGAGTTTGAGACCAGCCTGGGCAACATAGCGAGATACTCTTCTATAAAAATAAAAAATAAAAAAATTAAGTGTGGTGGTGC